GCACCGGCACCGCGAAAATCCCGGCGACCCGAAATACGGCATTTCCGGGAGAATTTAGGGTGTTTCGACTGGCTCCGTGCGAGCACAGAAAATCGGCGCGGCTGTAAGGTTAGAAGACGGCAGGAAAAAGTCGTAGAACGCGATAGGCACGCGACGGACGGCGCGCAGAAGCGCGTCATCTCTTGATCCAATTTGAAGCGTAAAAGGGGAAAAGCCGGTTACGTAGGAAGAAGAGGGTTTATCGTAATAATCAGCCATTGTCGAGGAATATAATGAACGTCGTCTCATGGACGATGCCCGGCCATTCTTCTCTCATGACGTCCTTCCTGCCGCACAGCTCCACCCCCTCCCCTCCCCCGGAACAGCCCGCTTCGATTTACGCGGACACGTTGACTCCGCCGTCGGCCGATCTCGTTGCAGATAAATTTTCACAAATTTTCATAAATTTTCATGAATTTTCGCCGGGTCCGGCGATCGACGAAAGTCGCGCGAAGCGATCGGCGGCGAGCTTTTAGCGTCCGACGCGTCGGCCGCGGCCGGCGGCGATAATGGCAATCGGTGAAAAGCAAGCAATTAAAACGTAACCCGAGCCGCGCTCGACAGTTTCCGCCAGGTGTTTTCCTTCGCCGTTTTCCTCTCCTTGTCTATTTCGAGTTTCTCGGCCGCCTAGCCGTCGATTTCGCGTCATCCCCCCTCCCCACCTCTCCACCGCGGTCCCCCAGCCGTCGCCGTCGCCGCAGCCGCCGCGTCGTCGCGCACTTCCGTTTACGAGCGAAACTTGCAAAAATTCGTAATTATGGGCTTATTAACGACTTAGAAAATCCCGCGAATTAACGAGCGCGCGTCTCAAGAGGCGCCGCGCGCGTCTACGACAGCCCTCTCTCTCCTCTCCCTCTCCCCCTTCTGCATTCTCGTCTCGTCGACCTCGACGAGTTGCCACTCCGCCTCTCCGACTTCCGCTTCGCGCCGTCTCGCACGATTCGCGCGCCACTCGCCGCGCGACAAGCGCGCTCTCTCCCCTTTCATCCCCTTTCATCCCCTTCGGCTGCGATCCGCGGGAGCGTTCGGCGCACGATCCGCCGCCCGGGAGAGAAATCGGGCGGAGCTCAGTCGTCGAGCTTCGACGGTGGTTTCCGATTCCTCGGAAACGACCTTGGGAAACGCTGCGTCCAGCCAGCGCGCCTCTTTCGAGGCGTTTCGATACCTGGCCGCTTCTATTGCCGCGCGCCGGAAGCGAGATTTCGCGATCCCGATCGCGGCGACACGCTCCGGCACGGTCGGCGCGGCGCGGCGACGCGACGCGACGCGTCGGACGCAACGGGATCGCGGCGGAACGCTCGCGTGGCGACGCGTCGGACGCAACGGGATCGCGGCGGAACGCTCGCGGATCGAGACGGGCGGCGGCTCTCGTGGGAATCCACGTCGATGCGACGAATCCGCTGGGAGGAGGGGGCGGCCGGAGGGCAGCTCCGCGGAGCGCGCTCGGCGGCGCGCCGCGCACTCCTGACCTTTCGAAAGCGTTGGATTGCGCAACGAGGATTGCGGGCCGAGCCGCGCGGACTTTCGACGCGGTTGCGTCTCGAAGCGGGCGAGACGGATCGCGAGACGAAGGCGCGGGTGGGAATGTCGGGGCTGGGAAAATCGATTTTGGGGGAAATTTTTCGTTTTGTCGGTGGTTCTTGGGGCGAGACGAGACGGGAAGAGACGAGAATCGAGACGAGAGTCGAGATTCGAGACGCGATAAGAATCGAGAGGGGAATCGAGACGAGAATCGAGACACGACAAGAATCGAGACGAGACGAGAATCGAGACGAGAATTGAGACAAGAAACGAGACGAGAGTCGAGACTCGAGACGCGACAAAAATCGAGACTCGAGATGAGAATTGAGTCAAGAATCGAGACGAGATGAGAATTGAGTCAAGAATCGAGACGAGAGTCGAGACGCGACAAGAATCGAGACTCGAGACGACTCAAATCGAGACTAAATGTAATTTCGCCCCTCTCTAAAGCCGATCTCGGAGAACAGGTCCACGCAGTCCCTTCTTCCTCTATCCTTCCCATTCGTCTCGTTTCTCCCCGATTTCCTTGGCGGCTGCGACGCGACGCCGAACGCGAGCCATGCACCGCGCGGCGTATTTTCAATATTGCGCTAGGAACGCGCGGCCGACTCGACTCGGCACGGTGTACCGTTACCGCCTAGGTGTACATTATCGATCCGAGCCGATCTAATTACGAGAACAGTGCGCTCTGTACGTAGCCCGTAGCAGCCCGTCGGCTATACATATAGGCAACACGCCGAGGCTAACGGGAGGAATGAGAAAACCGACGACAATGGAGAACGCATCCATGAACACGCGCGATTACTATAATCGATTCTGGGTCACGCTCTGCTCAGCCATTGGTCGGTGGTCGCGCGCAAACGAACATCGCCAGTCACCGGGTATCGGTATTTATACCTGTTCGTCGTCGTCGTTTATTCATTTATTTATTTATTTATTTAGTCTTCTACGGTGGTAACTCAATAATAATGTACGCCGGCGATTCCAATTATCCGGCACCCGGTTATCCGGATTAAACGGCATATTTGCTACGGAGTATTGCTCTCGGTAAATGTTACGGAATGAGGATGCGCGATGAATAAATGTATAATAACATTTGCGGAGCACAATAAACGCTATAACATTATGG